CAGAAGTTTTTAACGGTGTGTTTGCGAAGTGTTATATTTTGGACTCCAGGAACTGAAGATATTTCATATGATTAACCCTTTAGCGTAATTTATAATTTTACACATCCTACTCTTTACACTTGATTCGACAGTGTTACGCAATCGTTTTCGTCTCTTACAAAAGATCATCGCCGTGGAACGGAAGAGAGAAGTCCCTTGTGAGACACTTAGTTCTCAAACACTTAAACGTTGTTTCTGAAGTGAAGTGTAAAATAAAAGCACCTTTCGGGAAAAAGTTTTTGTTTATTTCAATGAATCCGTTACTTGGCGCAGTTCACACAGCAATAAGGCAAGCGACTAATTTCGCTGTAGCGTGCCAGAAAATGCAGGCTTTGTTATCACTATAAAATGAAGGGTTAATCATACGAAATATATATTGGGGGTCGCAACATCAATAACCTGAGATACGCAGATGATACAGCTCTACTTGCAAACTCAAAATTTATATCTTCCTAAAGTTGTGGAAATAGTGAAAGTGAACAGCAGCAAGGCATGCCTCGACATGGACGCCAAGAAAACAAAAACAATGGTCTTATCAAAATCTTCTGGGAAAACAACAGACATAACCATTGATGGGGAGAGAATCGAACAAGTACACCAATTCAAGTATCTAGGGGCAACAATCACCGGTGATGGAAGACGTGAAAAAGAAATAAACGTAAAAACTGTAGCTGCAAAAACAAGATTCATCCAAATGTACAGACTATTTAAATTCAGGCAACTAACTCTCACTTTAAGAAAGAAAATGCTGAAATGTTACATCTTTCCCATATTCATATCAGGCGCAGAGACCTGGACTTTGACAAGGAAAAAACCCAACAAATTAAATGCGTTTGAGATGTGGTGCTATCGTAGAATGGCCAGAATAAGCTGAAAAAAAGATAAAGTCGTGAGTCAGATTCTACACACAAAACAAAAAATGCTGAACAGCATAACATGTAGAAAAATACAATACAATGGCCACTGAAAACGAAACGAGATCATTGTCAAAGGGGTGCTTGAAGGAAAGGCGTGGGGCAGGAGAGACAGAGGAAGGCAAAGAATAACATGGAAGTGGAAGGACAACATAAGGACATGGACTGGCCTGAATATGTCGGAATGTGCAACGGCAGCTCACCACCGTGAAAGATGTGAGGTTATTATACGTCAACCTCTGAGTCAGAGATGACACCTCCCGGTATTCAGGTATCCAGGTATAAAATGATAGATGTTGTGTACTTTGTTCTGCCATCTTATGTCTCTTCTGAAATTGCATATGTCATCATCATGTTGAGCTTTTAAAGATATTTTAAATAGAAAGAATGCTTCTGTATCAATTTTTTAAAAACACACTTCCATCTTAGATGCGATTCAATTACCCAAGAAGATAGACCCGTTCTCCATGAAAGTCCAGATCAACCCACAGACCACACGGGCTAACCTGCGTACTCTGGGTCAGGCCAGCTCGACGTCACAGAACTCACAACTCACGTGCACCACGCGCAGGTCACCAACCTCTGCTGTCGGCGTCAGTAAAACTACTCAAGTCACGTGCCAGGGAGATGAGATCCTCACCGGCTGTTCTAGTTGGCTCAAGGTCAGAACACTTAAAGGAAGATTAAACGTTGCAGTATATTTTGTTCAATTTTAAAAAATCGCTATTGATATTTTGCAGTCAAAATCTGTAAAAGTATACTTTAGGCATCACCGAAGTATTTTTTTCTAGGACTACAGCAAAGACCGCTCAAAGGGTCATGTAACTCTGAGGGTCAACAACTGTACGGCTAACCAGTGTCTATTGATGGTCAGGGTCAACTTTTGGTGAATCTGTAATTATGGACACTAAACCTATCTAGAGGCTGTACCTGCCTTTCTTTGGCCATGTTTGACCCACAATGTTCCAGACCATGAACTTTCAGTCGTTGTATCTTATTGAAATTGCCTTCAGTGCATGAAGTAAGGCTGTGTAACGTTTCAGAATTTTCACCTGAAAAAAAAAGAGACACAAACATTACAAGCATTCTCAAAGAGCATGGTCACTAAGATTTTAATGCAGGGCGCCACAACTGTCGGTGGGAAAATACAGACTAAGCATTATCATACCAGAAAGTACAAATGAGGTCAAAAGAATCAACCTTGAATTTGTCAAAATGCATATTTTCCCACAAGCACAGGTCTATTACGTAAAAGCATTCATTTAGAAAGCAGTCATTTCCAGATCTTGGCCATATTTTATCCATTCCTAGTCTAATAAAATAAATACGCCATGCCTTCACCGTCGCATGTCTCTCATAAGTTTTGTTGATCCCATAAACTGAAGAGCACCTATCTCAAACTCCTTCCACAGCGCATCATAGATAGGTATCTCCAAGCAGCGACGTTGATGGGATTGGTCATTTGGGCCCTGGAAATGATTTGCTCTCCCATAATACTACCTTTTCCATATTCGTTGAATATTAGATTAAAGAAAAATGTAAAAAAACAGCAGGTCGCAACAGCAGTACATTATGATTGATGTCTTGCATATTATTCGACAATTTACACACAACTGCTCTTGAAACCCCCATGCCTCTGTCTCTAGGATAGCGACTGGCACCGTGATGGGGAAGAAATCCTTATGTCCGGTGGAAAGCAGGCGTGCCGAGCAATGAATGGATACGGATCTTCTGCAGGTTAGTCGTTCTCCATACGGTCAGGTTTTTCGCCTCCGCACGTGGAAGACCCTAGCTCCATTCCCGTGTGTAGAGGATTTTCATAAAGCATGTTGGTCTTTCTGTTGAGTTGTTGTTGTATCCCTCTCAGCCCGAGTCGAAGCACACCTCCCAAATGATTTAAACTCTGTCGATGGGGGAGGAAAAACATCTTTCTTTAAAAAATATCATTCTTCTCACTGAGTCACAGTCAGAGTTCCGTAAACATTCACAAGAAATATAGATGTACAACAATAGGGGCATGTAGGCTATACATCTTCCTTCATAATCTTTAACCTATGGTAAGTTTACAAATTGTTTGCCTTGTCGTATACTGAATTAGGTTTATAAATTATTTTGTACGTCAGTGCTAAAGAAATAATAAATATTGTTCTCACAAAATCAGACCCTTGTCTTTTCGGGTTTTTATCCACGCTAAATTCTGTTGTCTCAAAGAATCTTTAAGTCTCCAAGAGTACACGTGCAAGTTGTTTATCCACACATGGCAATTCATTCTTCACCTAAGATCCATAACCTTTGTTGTGTTGTGCCACGGGTACAAGATGTTTATCCACACGTCTGGAGTAATTGTCCATTTCAATTAAATTTTTCAGTCATTCTGTGTTGCTTTGTCTTTAAAAGTGCATTATGATTTTTAACACACCTCACAACCGTACCTATCAAGATACTTATCTACACGTTTAAAGTCATTCTTCAGCGCACTATCAAACACGTGTTGTGTTGTCTCTAGAGGCACAATATGTTTATACATATGGTTAGTCTTATTCCCCACGTCACTACCCTACACCTATTTTGTTGTCCCTTGAAGTACACGATTGTTTTATCAACGTGTGTTGTCCCTAGAGGTACAACATGCTTATCCACACTTCTAGAGTCACCTATCACGTCAACATGATCCCTGATATAGTCATTCCCTACACGTAACGGCAGAAGATGTTTTTCCATGTGTGTTGTACCTTGAAGTTCCAGACGTTTATCCACACGTCTCATACCATATCCATGTGGTGTTTGTCCCCTAGGGGTTGAGGCCGTGGCTCGATGCTGCAGTGCGCAGGGTCTGAAATGTGAGTACCGCACGGCAGGACCCTCTGGTACTGGGATGGACGACAAGGTGGAGGTGCCTTGTCAGGGGCAGGCATATGCTTTAGGTGAGTCAACTTTATCTATCTACTTTTCTCACAGAAAATGTGTATAGACTACATATTACATTTATAGATCAACATGATATTATGTCCCATATACACATTATTCCAGTAATTTTAAAATGTGACATCTCAATGAATGTAATGCTCACTCTCACATTGAGCATATTTTAGGTAATGGAAGTTTATCTATCTATCTATCTATCTATCTATCTATCTATCTATCTATCTATCTATCTATCTATCTATCTATCTATCTATCTATCTATCTATCTATCTGTCTGTCTGTCTGTCTGTCTGTCTGTCTGTCTGTCTGTCTGTCTGTCTGTCTGTCTGTCTGTCTGTCTGTCTGTCTGTCTGTCTGTCTGTCTGTCTGTCTGTCTGTCTGTCTGTCTGTCCGTTTTTCTGTCTGTCTGTCTGCATGTCTGTCTGCTGTGACTACAAAGTCTACAAAACTCTACATAAGGACCCGAATTCAAGAACACCCAGTCTGGGATCCGAACTCGGGCCATCTGCTCCGTAGTCCAGCGTGATACTAACTAAGTTAACTAAGCGTCCGGCTAAAGCAAAATCAATCGTGATTACCTTGGTGTTGCATGACCGACCGCGTGTTTTGTCTGTGTGTCCCCCAGGCTGCTCCACACTCGCCTACTCCCACAACTCTGATGGCTCTATATTCACCAACACCTCATGTATGGGACAAAACGACTACCCAAGGGACGGTGAGTCAGATGTTCTTACTTCTTTTTCTAGAGATGTATTCCTCTCAAGTCTTGCACGATTTCATGATAACTTTCTCAGCTTTCCTTCTGAATTCCCCTGTAGGAATATACAGTGTTCCAACCTGTAAGGCGCACACCTCTGTCATTCCCACACCTCGTCTCTGCTGTACTGAATTGCAACCAGGCGTCCTGAGGAACGTAGATAATTATTAATTTTGCTTTGACATTCAAATCTTCTCATCAAAGAAATTGTCATGAAATTATACTACTCCACGACCTATCAATACTACCATCCATACTTTACAATAATTCAAACAGTCAAATACCTTTTCTGTTCTGTAATTATACATGAATCTCCCCCCGCCCCCCACTTGTAAAATAATTCCCATTAGGTGTGTACTCCTACGCGGCGTGCTGCCAGAGTCCCAACCTCCAATGTCGCACAGTGACTTCCGGGACGAGTGGCAAGAAACAGTCGGATCAGGTTGGGGTCACGTGTCCTAAAGGTTACGTCATGACGGGATGTAACGTCTTCTCACAGTATGGGAAAACTGGGGGCGCCTTTATCAACCGTGAGTTCTGTCTCTTTTAATATATTTTATCTGCACAAATACATGAACTTAATATAAACACACACACACACACACACACACACACACACACACACACACACACACACATACACACACACACACACACACACACACACACACATACACATGAAGGGGTTCTCGTGTTCTAGAGGTTAAGGTGTTCGCCTCTCATTCAATTGGTCCGGGTTCGAATCCGAATAGCGAGGGAGCATTTTCTTCTCTAAAGTTTTGTCCTTTCATAACCTTCCCTACTCTCTAGCAATGTTCTGTCGTCTGCGTTTGTATCCATCTTCTGCACCACATTTGACCTCTCCCCTGGGCTCCTGACTCTTTCTGAAGCCTTTCTACTACTACTCCTTGGCTCCTTCGTACTGCTGACTTTCAGCCACACCCTTGATCTTACGGTAGAAAAGACCTACACCTAGCCTTCTCGGATAAGGATGTAAAATCTTGGAGGCCCCGTGTGCAAGCTGCGCACGTTTAAGATCCCTGGGTGGTCCAAAATCAATAAGAATAGGCTTCGGCCGCCACTCGGGCAAAATTCAAATTTTCTTACGAACTGAAAATGTTTATATGAGTCCGGCGCGCTCAAATGACCTCTTGCAGTTGCAACAGCCGTAAAACACTTTCAAAGGACCCTCCCCCCCCCAACAACAAACAAACAACCCCCTTCAACCTAACAAAACACAACAATCCAACAGACACATTCGTATATTTTGCTCACATGCACACACGCAGAAACACAAAAACACCTACCCACGCACACATAAACACACACACACACACACACACACACACACACACACACACACACACACACACTCTCTCTCTCTCTCTCACGTTCTCTCTCTCTCTCTCTCTCTCTCACACATATGCAGAGAAAGAGCGAGAGAGAAAGAGAAAGAGACAGAGCGAGAGTGAGAGTGAGAAAGAGAGAGCGAACGAACGAGAGAGAGAGAGAGAGAGAGAAAATGAGAAAGAGAGAGAGAGAGGGAGAGAGAGAGAGAGTGAGAGAGAGAGAGAGAGAGAGAGAGAGAGAGAGAGAGAGAGAGAGAGAGAGAGAGAGGGAGAGAGAGAGGTTGGGATACATAGATTGGGGTATGCTTGAGCACACCTAGCAGCAATTTTAACAAATGTCTGGAACCCCCCCCCAAAAAAAAGCAGCCCTCCCAAACAAACAAACAAACAAACAAACAAACAAAACAAACAAACAAACAAACAAACCATCAAACAAACAAACAAACAAAACACTCACATGCATGCATACTCACGAACACACAATGTATACACATATGCACGCATAAAGGCACACAATACTCACAAAAAGACAATAGGAATAAAATCTAATCAGGGTCGGTAATAGAAAGCACTTGTGTAAGTGTTAGACTATCTGGTGTAAAGTTTGGGGAGATACCTCTCAGTCTTAGGCCGCCATGACGTTGTTATTAACAAGCTTGGTCGACCTTTTTACACGTTAGCAGTCGGAACGCTTGTTCTGATCCTGCTAGGAATATTTCAAATTTGCTCGTTGTTTTGACGGAAGACCAAGTGTTCAAACTTGAAAATGATTGGTACTAGTTCTGGCCATTGTCATTGTGTCACTGCATAACACAATACGTTTTTTAAAATAAGAAATTAACACAGATATTCAATAGTACCGAGCCAAGTGGACGGAGAGCCTCTCTTGTCCCAAAATACTGTCCACCCACACCCCCCCCCAAAAAAAAATAAAAAATAAAAATAAAATAAAAGTTCAGAACGTCCCGTTGCAAATTCCAACGGAGACCATCTGCACCGTCGCCCAGGATGATACCAGCTCAATAAGTTCGTTTTTTTCAAAACGTGCACCCCATCTAAAACCCTCCACCAAAAAAACAAAAACAAAAAGCAAATCAATACCCCCCCCACAAAAAAAACACACCCCAACCCAAAACCAAACCAAACCCAAACCAAACAACAACAAAAGACCCCCCCCCCCCTCGGAAATCAAATCAGGCAAACAACAGTCCGAGTAAATCTAGTCTTCGATACTTTGACATAAATCCTTGCTGACATTCACACCCTCTCTCTACAGCCAACGTTGCGGGCACAGATACATGTGTTGCTGTGAATGGAGCCGAGAAGTTTGGACCCGAGACGGGGGTCCAGGCGCAGGCCACCTGCTGTCGGACCTAGACTGAGAAGTACCACTCTGGGCTGTCACTGTGGACTGCTGGAAACGCCACTGCAAGGAATCCCCTTTTCATATCTTACCGTGACTGTTTACAGAAGCTGGGGTACATTCTTTTGTTCGTTTCTAGGCCTGCAAATAAAGAATTTGATTTAGATTATAAAATATTCATGTTGAGTTAGTGCCTCAAAGTCGAAATGATTGAACTGTGTGCCTGGAGGGACTATTTTCGATGAATTGCATTATCTGTACATTCTGCTATCGCAATACAGAGTTATTCCTTTTCTCATTTCAAAGCAAAGCTGTGTCAATGTTTGTGTCAATCTATAGAGAAATAGCCCGCTCATGCTGCGTTTTCTCTCAGATGTTAATCCAACAAACATGTACCAAGGATGACACATCATCCTGATAGTTCCAGGGGTTGGAGAAACTCTGAGACTTCCTCAGACAACCAAGAATGCTGCGTTGTTATAGATTTGAACCAAGGTAATCCAGAATGCGTTGAAAATGCTCTTAGAGAAAGAGGGGGAGGGGCACATTGGTTGAAATGATACATTTACATAATAGACCCGTGCAAATACGTGGACATCGAATAGTTCAACACAAAGGGGAAAGAAGCAGCACATGGACGCAAGCATGGTTATTCAGGGCCGGGGAAGGTTATGACGACGGATAGAATCAGAAGAGAAATAGAAAAGAAGTTGGACTTTCTAGTGACACCTTTCAACCACTCTCATCAAAGGCAGTGTCAAGAAAACAGTGAAGCTTAAAAAAGAGCATGTTGAAGCATTCCAGTCCGTCTGTCAAGTGTATGGGTATACCCTTGTGATACAGTAAATTCACTGAAAAATCGGGACCTCTGATCTAGCGTCTTGCTTCTATACGACAGATCCCAAAGGATTATGCCGCTTAAGAATCGAACCAGGGTCACCCACCGTGCAATTCAGCATATTATAACATACTGCCCCTGGTAAATTGTAAGGGGGGGGGGGGCTCTTGTGGCCTAGAGTTTAAGGTGTTCGCCTCTCATTCAAAAGTCCAAGGTTCGGACCCGAGTAGCGACGGACAATTTTCTTCTCTAAAATTGTCTCCTTTCACCTTCTTTCCTTCTCTCTTGGAATATTCCGTCGCCTGCTTTCGTCTCCACTTTCTACCCCCACTCCCTCACCTCCTTTGCCCCCTACACTGGGCTCCTGAATCTTCCTGCAGCCTTTCTACTGCTACTCCTTAGCTCCTTCTTATTGCTGTCTTTCAGTTACTCCCCTCGTATGACCTTATGCAGTTGCGAGCGCCGTAAAACCCCTACTAAAACTAAAGTCATACCCCTGATCTTCTGGTACGAAAGATCTACACCTAGCCTTCTCGGATAAGGACGAAAAATCTCGGAGGTTCCGTATGCAAATTGCGCACATTAAAGATCCCTAGCTGGTCCAACATCGATAAGAGTTGGCTTCGGCCGCCACCAGTCCAAAATTCAAAATTTTCTACCAATTGAAAATGTTTGGTGTGTTCCGCGCGCTCATATGACCTTATGCAGTTGCAAGCGCCGTAAAACACTTACCAAAAAAAGTTAATTGTAATTCTGATCACTCATTCTTAAAAGAAGTTAGAAATGTCTTCACGTATGATGTCACGGCGGCCCAAATTTGGTCCCACTGAGAGCGGAGACGCTGGATGTGTGTTGCAGGTCTAGTCTATTTATGTATAAGAAAAGACGCACGCCTTGCTCTGCTGGGATGTGGGGCGTGGCAGAACAGAGGTGGGAAGAGAATAGGCGGGAAGAGGAATTTTGACCTCTTTGCAAACTCAAACAATAGCGACAGTTTTTCAGTATTGGATTATAATACTCGTATTTATCAGCCTAAAAAGTCGATTTTGGTATCCAAAACCGATTTTTCGATTTTGGACTATTTTAGTAGAGCAACATCTGCTTTATCGATTGAAAATATTTTCAAGTGTCCAAAACATCTATAAAGTGCTCACATATGCCATGTATTTTAACATTGTGTGGTAATAGAATGGTATGAATTCGTGTTTTTTAAAGTTTTCTAAAAACTATGATTTTCTTAGGGGGGTGGGTCACCTTGGCAGAGATATTTCTAAAAGTACTCGTCGCAGCTGAATCCAACTTTGCATGACTGTTTCTAGATAATATGTTTGCAACGTACTAAATGATTATTGTGATAGTGTAATAAGTCTTCCGTCAGTGTTAAAAAGATTGGCAGTATAACTCTGATTTGTGATCATTTTTTTGTCCAAGTATCGTATATGACACTAAAAGGGCAGTTACAAGAAAAGTATGAGACTTAGGAAAGTAAATCTTTAGTACGTTGCAGGCTGTATATACACAAACTCTGTGTGACAACATCAAGGCTGTATCAATTCAATCTTTTTCAGAATCCCTGCCAACAATTTGCGCGAATTTTGGTCTGTCGAACCCTTTGCATCTTAAAAATTCAAAAAATTAACAGTGAAATCATATAGGGATAGTGTGTTTCTGTTTCTTGACCCATACTGGTTATTGGGAATCCCAGTATACTTAATTTAGAGCCCAAACAAAAAATTTCATTTCAGCTGTACCTAGTTCACCTTAAGTAACCTGAGTGCTTGTCTCTCGGTAAGCCTGTTTTAGAAGACTAAACAGACAAAATGTCAGTTGCACCCTGCCCCCTCCTCCATCTCCAGCGAAGAACTTGACAATCCCACCCTTCCTCCAAATAACAACACAAAACATACACGAACAAAACGAAACAATTTGCCAATCCCAAAAGAAAGGTAGAAGGGAAGAAAATAGGTTTTGATTCGTTTGTATTTTAGCTGCAACTGGAGGGAAAAGCTGAGGAAAAATTTCTTTGTGATACAAACTTCAAGTACTGCTGAACAAAATTCATCATCTGTTTCATACACAGAAAAATAAACGAAAACAGCAAACAAACAAGAGACCATTGCTTCCATATTCAAGCAACAACAAAGACGAAAACTGGAAACAACATGTGGCCATTTAATTTGATGCTGTTAGAAAAATTTGCAGCGTTACATAATGATACTCAAAGGGAGCCAGGCTTTTGCCAATATGGAAAAGTTTTACTTTCGTGTAAGATCGTCATTTGATTTTTCGATCCCTGTAATATTTAAACAGTATTTAATATTTTTCTTATATAATTAAAGACCTTACATTGTTATTTTTCTTATTCTTAGAGCCAGTACTCTACATTATGCCTTGCTTTGGATTCGAAACATTTTTGACGCGTCGTTCGTGGTGGCCAAACGTAAGGACCCGCCAAACCATAAATGCTTAAAACCGAACATACTTTAGACTTTTCATTAAAAATGTCTTCTAGATATGATAGGGGGTGTCCAATAGACAACATTTGTTCAGTTTACATATCTTGAAAGGTGAAAATGGGCTCTACCACTAAACCAAATGTCACTGAGGGAATGTTCACGCTTTTCAAGACGACCGAGAAACTTTAAACGCATTGCCCCTGTGATCCATGTCAATCTCACGAACATGAAAATGATACTGACACAGATGAAGATTTGAATTTTAATTGAGAAAGTGGACCACTGAAGAGTAGGAAGGTTCTAGCCGCCGACATCGCCATCTGAAGCAAAGAGCGAACTTCCTGCGGACACTTTTTTGGCTGAGTGGCCCATCTTGTTATTTACTATCTTTGGCTTAACTTAACTATGATCTCAGCAGCCACAGAAAACTATATCTGCAAACTTCTGTTGACATATCAGACTGCTGTAGTTTACAATAATATATTGCAATCGACTTTTTGTGGCAGGCCTAATGCGAACTGGTGCGTCATGCCACACAAATGGGGACAAGGTAAATAAAGGTTATTTCCTTTTGTGCCATACTGAGCAAAACTATTCTGTGGAACTATCTAACATGAATATCAGACAAATTCCTTTCGGCTGCCAAATATTGTGTTCAAATTTGAAACACAAAGCGCCACTGTGGAGGAAAATATTTACGAAAAAACCTGCGGAGTTCGGTTTTTTTATCACTCTGTACATCCACAAGTGACCAAATCATAATATATATACGATGCTATTTTGCTCTGTATCTATTTCCACTCCGCTCTCTTTTCAAATCTTGTGTATTAAAAAGTCCAGGCGAACTATAAGTAATGAAGCGTGTTTTCCAGGATTGTAAACTTCGCCTTGTAATCAGTTCGGAGGTCTCCAAAGTGAGCTTTTCCAAAAAGAGTGGAATATATAGCCAACATGTTTCACTCTTGAACTACTACCGGTCTTTCTCGATATGAAAACCAGCAAGCTGTAAAATCGCATACCTTCTCTTCCTTTTGCCTTTTAAAAAATCGTCTAGGTAGCATAGTTTTGAAATGTTTAAGAAAATAGAATTATCAACAAAATTCAAGATAGCCCCCGTTTCCATGGTAACCGATGAATTTATGAATTATTTGAAGGTGTAGGTTTTCATTCCTCGACATACGTATCAACATATACCAGTACTAGCTCCAAACTTTCAGTCGCTGGGATTAAGTGGTAACGAACTTGACTAAAACTTGAAAGCTAGAGGTTTGAAACCGATTTCAATTATCTTTTGGTATGCCCAGAGAGGGTTTATAGTAATACTGTAAACTTTCTGGTATGTCCTCACAAGAAAATGAGTAATCGGTAAACTGAGGGAGACTTGTAAGCGCTCTTTTCGACCCACTCCCTCCTCTGGGGATCAAAGCTTTATGCATGTTAGGGCCAAAAATTCACCAACGTCACAAACAGAAAGCTCAAGAGATTTTACCACACAATCCGAGCCCAGAGCAACCTCGCCTGTCTTTAATACAATTTGAGAAAAATGTGAAACTGTGAACTCGCCTTTCAGACAGATTAGAGGTTTCCACCAACATTAGCACTCACTGAAATCACGTAGACATCCAACCTATTGCTGAATTCCGCATTGAATGATTATGTTCCGTAACTTCCAACACGTAAACAAACTATTTAGTTGTTTGTCTATTCTGTCTTTTTTTTCTTTGTTCCCTTTGTTCTGACACAACCCACAGTCCCAGCCAACTACGATATTGATATCAATTGAAAAAAAGCGGTTAACATACAAACAAACAATCAAAAGCAAAACTAGCCAAACAAAACAAAACCAACCAAACCAAACCAAAGAACTCATGTTATTTGTTGACCTGCTAAAATAATCGAGAAAATATCTCATAAATTAATTGCTATTCCCACTTTGGGCAAAACATAATTTATAACTTTTAAATGTGCTGTGGGAATAATGATCTCCAGTTTAAAAAAAACCCTGTAATTGCAACTAAAGATGTGAAGCAGAGGTGACAATACTAGAAATGTATTATCAATTTGTTTTCAAATTTGGCTGTCTTTTCTAGCTTTTTTTTTGCAGACAGGGGTCGATATAATCATGCCATGACCTGATTATAGGGTGGTAAAAGGTTGAGGAAAAAAAGCAAGCGCTTACAGTAGTCATGAGGTTATTAGGAATTAGCCTCCCCCCCCCCTCTCCTTTATGAGGTAGACTCTACCAGTTTAATTGTTATCTTACATAATCCGTGCTTGTCACTGCCAATGAGAGTGGCCCGAAAGGAGGGATGAACAGGGTATTTGTGTGGAAATGAAACAGTTTCGAATGTTGTGCACGTTGCCCATTGGTGATTTCCTGAACATTTATTACTGTACTTTTATTTATGAAGTCGTTTTCTATCACGGTCCACGTTTTAATTTGACTGCGACGATGTTCCCAAATTAAAGAAGGGAAGCAGTGTTTATGATTGATTATGTGGATGCTTTGCAACTACTGTGTTCTTCTTTAAACTTTATTCTAGGTAGGAACGAGTTTGTTCTGGTCATTTTCTATTCAAGGTCTCGGTCTCCCTTACGGGTCTGTGGGTATTAGTTTTGAGTCTCTGTTTTGATTTTGTTTTCCTTTTTGATTTTTCTAAGGCGAGATAGAGGCACCTCCAGGTATGGGGAGGGGGCCACTTCGACTGTCTGACCTTGATGTGTCCTCTCCCATTCCCTTTGCGTGAACCCCCCAACACCCCCACCCTCTCGCATGCACACAAAAGTGCTTTCTCAAGGACGATAACTCGGCTATTTTTCGACCTTTGTAGCTTCTGACAGACTTTGCCTTATGCCACTAATAGAAAGTGAATAAAGAGGACACAGGATGCTGTTATAGGACACATGACGCTAGACAGGAATTCTAGGACACTGTTACGCCGGTCTGTGTGCGGTGTCGAAGTAGCTTTATAATAAAGTGTTGTCATCGTTAACTCGTAAATGTCTACTTTCGTTGCTCTTCATCCTAGATTATATACTACAGAATAGGGCTAGGAGTCGTCGAGTGAAGATGACTGCTCCCTTCGTTTTGTTTCTATTTTTGCGATGGACACAAAAAACAACAGTCTGTACTAAAATAAGAACGGGCGGTAGGATTTTGCCCATTTGGGAAAAAATCGTGGCGGGGAGGAATGGGTATCCAAACTGGAGAACGCCACTTAAAGGTTGTATGCATTTAAGTCGAGCCCCATTGGTTTCAATGTTCTGATTGGTGCATTTTAAAAGGTCAGAATTTTCTGTCACTCTTTTTAACCCCAGCACATATGTAGGTTGCAAAAATACTTCTGCCCTCCGACTCCACGTGCGCTAACTTAAAGATAACCGACATACTCAACGTTCTGAAGTTTCGTCCCTTTTAAAAGGTAAAAACGTCGAGAGTTTAAGATAGCCCGTTGAATAGGAAATGACAGAGAATTCAGTTTCAATGGACTGCAAAAGAAAAACTATTCTGAAAATAAAGAGTACAGACCAAAAGCATGGAAGCTTTTGAAATACACAAGGCTGATATTTACTTCATGCCGTCACCCTCCTCTTCGTCCTTTGAGAAATATTGTCAAGGAGCATCCACATGCAAACGTATGCATAAATACTTATGACACCCCCCAATATACACTCATACACACACATACACAAACACCCACGCGCGCACGTAAGAATATTCAAACACATACACACATACATTAACATTTGGACTGTCACCTGATGTTTTCGATGTTAAATGTATGTAGATTTGAATGCATAATAAAAGTTCTTCACTTTTTGCAGTATTTACACACACACACACACACACACACACACACACACACACACACACACACACACACACACATACACACACGCACACACACAAACACACACTTATACACACACATACACACATACACACATACACACATACACACATACAAGCGTGTACGCTAGAACATTCACAACCAAACACATACGTGATCACTTATAACACTCACACACAATCAATTACACTACGGTAAGACCACTTGCACAAAAATGCACTTGCATGAACACTTGCACAACCCATACATGTACGGCGGAGAGGTTGGGGGAGGGGGGGCCCTCAGTGGTTAAGAGGTTACGGTGTTCGCCCTCCATTTAATAAGTCCCGGGTTCGAATCCGGATAGCGACGGAAATTTTCTTCTCAAAATATTGTATTTCACCCGATTTCCAACTCTCTAACAACGTCTCCACTTTCTTCCCCCACCTTCTCACCTCATTTAATTTGTCCCCACCTCTGGGCACCTGACTCTTTCTGCAGACTTTCTTCTGCTACTCCTTAGCTCCTTCTCCCCCCCGCTCCTCCCCCCCCCGCTCCTCCCCCCCAAAAAAAATAAAAATAAAACCCCAAACAATTATTCCCCCCCCCCCAACAACAACAAAAGACATACGTACACATTTTGTTCACATGCACACACACACAAACATAAACACACACACACACACACACACACACACACACACACACACACACACACACACACCCACACGCACGCGCGCGCGGGCGCGCAGAGAAAGAGAGAGAGAACGAGAAAGTGACAGAGAGAGAGCGAGTGCGAGAGATAGAGAGAAAGAGAGAGAGAGAGAGAGAGAGAGAGAGAGAGAGAGAGAGAGAGAGAGAGAGAGAGAGAGAGAGAGAGAGAGAGAGATGCTGGGATAAATAGATTAGGTATGCTTGTGCGCACACATAGCAGTATTTTAACAAATGACCAGAAACCACCATTTTCAGTGTCTTTTTCCCCGCAACTCAGGGTGAACATCAGTACGACACTTAGACCCGTGACCTAAGACACATTTGTAAAAGTAAACAAGTACTTGTGTAACTGTAAGTAATAGAACTTTACTTGCGTTAATTAAGCTCGTTCTCTTTTTGAATGTAGATTTGTATTAATAAATTAAGTGGAAATAAATAGATGGGCAGTATGCTTTGGCATGCGTGTGTGGGAAAAGAGAAAATAAGATAGATTGTAAAGTACACAGAGCTTGCTGTTGAGAGTGAACTTCCCCTAAACAAAATAGGATATACGTTTTCATTATTATTTCCCTGCATTTGTGCATATTATTGTTTTATTATATTTTTACTGTCCGTAAGATTTTCTTTTCGTATGATCTGCATTATAAACACTTTTTACACAGCGGCGAATTCCTTTGATCTTGTCGGATAATCATAAGATTCCTAACCTGAATATTTGATTTTGCAGCAACGAAGGGATATGGCCATCGAAACTTTTAAAACACATAATGTTTTGCTGGTTCGAGAATACTGATTGTGCGTTCAGGGATGTGAAAATTAAGGTGAACGAAAGAGTGAAATTGTCGTTGTTGAAACGCGGTGATCTCAGTAGTGTAAACCATTCTAAACAGTGTACAAACAGGTTCTAAGGACAAACATAATTCCTCAAGGTCAATAGCATTTGGAACTCATGTACACATTGGTAGTGCATTTAGCCAAGAGGTAAGTAAGACGTGGGTTGCAAACATGGGCACTTGAAAGCGAACAGACAGCAGTGCGTAAGCGGTATTTTGTGAACGACTGACCCAAGTCTTTTGACATTGAGGGCATTCAACCGATATCAATATCACAAAGAGGCTTGGTGTGAAACATGGTCGTCTTGTAATCTTCAGCAGGTCACACATGTCTGTAGCTCCAGACGTGCTAGATTGTAAAACTTTCGCCTTTTTATTTTGTACCATGCCCTATGTGGGAGCATTCGTTATTTTTCTTTCTTGCGCGTCTTTTTCTTGTGTTGTCTTTGCAAAGCCATGTAGAATTCTAGGAGTTTCTGTTTTGCTGTTGCAATAAGATAAATATAAGGAGAGGTATATGTAATGAACTCCACTCAACAAACACATTCGTCTTTGGGGCACCTGGTCGTCTCTTCTTTGTCGTTAAACCCCACAACATGGGAGCAACGAAAGAGGGACTATTGCGCAGGAAAATCCAAATCGTGAACTTACCAGTCTTCACTGCTATTTTTGTTTTGGTTCTTTGTAATGGCGTAGTAACAAGAGCGGCCGTGGAACTGATGAAGAACCCCGGGTTCGAGAATGGAGTTACGTCATGGTCCCATGACGGGTTCAGCATGGTCACCACAACAGAGCAGGTTCATGAAGGACGAGTGGCCGTCAAATGTACCGGCAGGTCAGTCTTTTATGTCAACTGTTGCTTGTTTTTTCTGCTATTCTTTCTTAGGATTTTGGTTTAGTTCCATTTGTTATAGAGTGTAAAAGAATGATAGTGTTATACTGTTTAACTACTTGGTTATGCTTGCTTGCTCGACGTCTTGGATGCATTGTCTAAATTATCATTCATTAAGTTCCATAAATATTCTAAACTCTCTAATTCTGTTTTGCACTATTTCCCCACCCCTTTCTCCCTCCTTCCATTTACATTCCTTTACAGAACTCAATCTTGGATGGGTCCTGCACAGGACATTCAGATCTCCAGAGGCAAACATTACGTGTTCAAGTCTTACATTAAGCTCATCAATGACCTTCCTGGGAGAATGTTCCAGAAAGCCGGTGTGAAAATCAGCTTTACTTTGAAAGACGGTGTGTTTTTCATGTCAACTGTTTGAATGTGTTTTTCAAAGACTTCCACCGAAAATGAGACTTAATTATCATTAATTGAAATGCATCCAAATATGTAAGCATAGGTCTAATTCGTCTTTGTTCTGTGCATATACGATCATTAGCACAAAGCAACGTTATACAAACCATTCGGCCTAACGTTTTCTCACATAGAGCATTGTGGTTATATACAATCTTTGTTTGGACTCACAAAGACAAGTATGAAGTTGTTCCTAGCCGTCTTTTGAATTCTACGTTTTGAGTACAGACCTAATCTTAAGTTATATGTATTCAAATCCTATCTAAACTCATTAGTATTAGGCAGAAATCATGCTTTCTGATACTAATCTCTTCCAGGTTCCAAGAATTACTTCCCTATTTGCTCCCGACCTTACCTGACAACTGCTGACGGATGGACCATGCTGGGTGGTGACTTCATACCTCCCAACTTTGGTATGAAGACCTCCTCCCTGCCCTTCTCACGCGCACACATTCCCAACACAAACACACAATCACGTATCATACACACACACACAAACAAACACAAAGACCGACATACATGGATACCTGGATGTGTCATCTCTGACTCAGAAGTTGACGTGTACTGACTCTCCATCTTTCACGCACGCGAGCTGCCATTGCACATTCTGCTGTACCCAGGCCAATTCATGTTCTTATGTTGTTCATCCATGGTATTCTTTGTCTTAATCTGGCTCTCCTGCCCCACACCCTTCCTTCAAACACTTCTTTCTCAATGGTCTCGTGTCGTTTTAAGTAGCCAAAGTATATTATTTTTCTACATTTAATTTTTATTCTATTGAGCAGGGTTTGTCTTGTGTGTAGAATCTGCCACACTTCATTGTTTGTCTTTTTTGTTTCCCAACTTATTCTGGTCATTCTACGGTAGCACCACATCTCAAACGCATTTATTTTGCTTTCTTCTTTCCTTCTCAAAAGTCCAGGTCTCTGTGCCATATAGGAATATGGGGAAGATGTAGCATTCCAACATTTTCTTTTTTAAAGTTAGAGAAAATTGCCTGAATTTAAATAGTTTGTACATTTGGCTGAATCTTGTTTTTGCAGTTGCTGTTCTTATGTCTATTTCTTTTTCACTTCTTCCATCACCTGGGATTGCTGCCCTGGAAGCTTGAATTTGTGCACTTGTTTGATTTTCTTCCCATCTATAGTTATGTCTGTTGTTTTTCCAGAAGATTTTGAAAAGACCATTGTTTTGGAGTTTTTTGGCGTTCAAGTCGAGGCATGCCCTGCTGCTGTTCACTTTAAAAAAATCACTACTTTCACAACTTTAGAAAGATTTTTGTCAATGTTTGCAAGCAGAACTGTATCATCTGCGTATCTCAGATTATTGATGTTGTGCGCCCCCAATAGTGACTCCTGCAGGTTATGAGATTTTCTAAAAATAAACTCTGTATAGTTGTTAAAAAGATAGGGAGAGAGGACATAAGCCTATCTCCTCTACGGATTTCAGTATATTTTGAACGTTCATTACACACTGCAATTGCTGCCTTTTGTAGCCAGTAGAAAGACATACATACGCGCACGCAAGCACACAAACCTACGCGAAACCCAAGCACACAAAACGGGGTATTGGGATGGACCCTGGAGAAACGCAACTAGGACTGTTTCATTCTGGTACCTTAAGTTTGGATATTACTTTCCCTCCAAAAGTCGGTCGTTTTTTGTTGTTAAAAAATCAAAAGGGGTGCGGGGGGGGGGGGGGGGGGAGGCAGGGATTGGCAGTGGTGTCTCTATGTATCGTGCTTTGAGAATAATTTGTTTCTAATTGATCTTTCACCTTGTTTCTTCACCAAAATGTGAAAATGTCTTTAAAAAAGGTAAAAATAATTTGTTTTTGCATTATTTTACCTTTAGAGGGTGCTTTGGTCATAAGAGAACTTATTGATTTCCGTGATTTACGAACAGATCTTAAACGTGATATAACTATCTCTGTACAGAATGGACTCGAGCATCTCTGTACTTGGAAGGCCTTTTACCAGGAACAGATTACTACTTCGACGACGCCTCTCTCACTGAACTGCCCTCTAACCCGAACTGGGAGCGGGAAGCAAATGAAAGAATTGAGAATTTCAGGAAAAGCAATTTGCATGTGAAGTGAGTTTGGCAGTTTTAAACAGAAGTCTACTTGCTCCTTTAAGGCCAATACCAACATTTTCTGTTGCTTTTATATTGATGATTGAAAACATTGCTTTCGACATCCCGATTGAGTTGATGAAGGTACAATTATCGTTGGTGTCTCTTGTTCCCTCTCTTGTTTGGCGTCAGCTGATTTGTTTTTGATTCCGTAGCATGTTTCTTAGCAGCATTTCTAATTTGTGAAACCTCATACGATTTGCTACCCTCTGTGATTGCTCCTCTGCTGGACATTATCCATAGGTGTAATCATGTCTTTCCTCTTTGTCCTCAGCGTGAGTCTCTCCTCTGGTTTTCGACCCGAGGACGTGACGGTGGAGGTGAGCTCATTTTGTTACTACAGATATTACACTGCTCTTGGGTTCTCGTAAATCCTCATATCGTTTGTGTTTGTTGGTTTTGAATGTAATGGAACGGGAGGAAGAGCAGGAGGGGGGGGGGGGAAGGGGGGGGGGGGGAGGGAGAGAACGAGGAGGAGACAATACGATGGACTAAAGATCATAGATGTTTTAGAGTTAAAGGTTAATGTAGCCCACTTAGCGCCGAG